GTCTATTCTCATCAACTCTTCTATAGACTGTGTCGTGTCTTGAACCGGGCAATATATTTTTTGTTTCCCATAGGCCTGTACAGTAGAGAAGCCTTCCGACTTAGGTCGTGTAACAAGCGACTATTATCTTCTCAACTTAATTCATTAATGCCATTTACCTTCACGAATACCTTCCCTTTTTCCACCAATTTGTCTAACGACTTTTGCACAGCTGATTTCCCAAGCTCATTATGCAGATTCGATACGATATCATTAAGACTATAAGGTCTATTGCGCAGTTTCATAAAATTATAAACGGTATCATCCATTTTTGTAACAAATTTCCCTGATTTAAAACAACGTGTATTATGTATACAAAGTTTATAGGTTATGCGTTAGGTTTCATAGAATTCGATTATTATCCTAACATCTTGTTTAAAATTCAGACGTAACGTTGTCCTCACGTGAATACACGTAATTAAACGTTTGAAGGAACTTACCAGGTCAAGTTCGATCGAAATTATATTTAATTCGCTTGGATTTTGAAAACACGTGTTCTCTCGGTAACCACCGACGCCGAATGCAATACTGAGTTACTAAGCCGAGTGTTTTTAATCTCTTTGAACCAGAAGAGAATAATCTCTGATATTTTAAATAATAATGCTTACAGTATTAATTTCGTACTCTCGATAAGTTACGCATTATAAATGATTTTAGATCAATAGGCGACATTATTGAAATAATATACCACGTGACGAATTTCGAATTACACGAATTCATGTTGATTAGCATCAAACACCATTCAAGAATGAATAATAGTAGAATCACATGCGACATGCAAATAGATCAAATTGTAGCCAATTGGTTCGCTCTTATTATTGATTAATAGCAATAGGAACGATCCACCGGATCGAATTAAACTTGAAATAAACCACTGGGGCTTTGATTCATTATGTTAAATAAATTTTACTTTAGAAAACTATTTACGTGTATTTTATTCCCTCAACGACTCTACTCCACCTGGAATTAAGTCACTTCCCTAATTCCCCTAATGTAATAATAAGCAGTGGCTAAACTATTACGAAGGATATTAGGAAGGATGTAAAATAGATTCCGGATTTATGCATTTATAAGAAACTTATATCTGCAGACAATATAAGAGCTGTTCGTCACGCATGAAAATATACAGATCATAGCCACGTTATGTAATTTTATGCGTATTCAAATAAATGACTCAATACTTAAACGTCTCGATGTAACGGTTCGTACATCTTTATCAGACGCACGTGGTACGCTTAATAGTTTTACAACGCCTAATAAAACCGATATACTTCTACGGGAGTATGAACAACGAAACCACCACGGTATTTGACATTCTTCTTACCCACTTCGCTCAATTCAGGAGCGAGTCACGGGATAAACAGATAACGCGTGGATCTCGATATAAAATCAAAAGCGAATTTTCTCTATCCTGCAACAATACGATTCCGCGAATGATGAGCTTCGTCTATACGCGGAATTGAATGTGCTAATTGAATACCGAAGACGTAATACAGAATAATCTACAGAGAACAAGTGCAGACAGTGTCACGCGCCTGTGGACGTCTCCTTCGTTAAAAATGGGTAACGTTTACTTAATATTGCCATAATTGTGATAAACGAAAAATATCCCGACACGTGCGATGGGCAATCGTCTAATCTATAATGTCTCGAAATGTCTATATCAACAACATTTTACATCGTACCGTTAATATTTGAAATAAATTTAAGAGACTTTCATTACGATATTAAATTAATGCAAGTACTACTTCTAGAAACATCGTGCGTTTAATTTCTGCCATTTCGATTGTCTTATTAACGATAACGAAACATGAATCAGCGTCAAATTTCATCATTCCTCTCGCAGTTCGCTAAAGTGTTTATAGCATTAGCTCGGATAAATTTCAAACCTGTCCGATTGATTAACTACATTGGATAAATTGTAGCTAGGGATCTGAACGAGCAGTATAATTTATACATATAAGCCGGTGGGTATAAACAGCGATTGTAAGACCGATGCCTGCGAGAGCTCACTCAGTCGCTTCCGAGAATCCATTGTAATAATACAATAGATCAGTTCTATTTTCAGTTTAAAAAAGTCGTGTATAATTATAGAAAATCTTACAGATCTTTGTCATCTTCTCAACGGCGAAACACGGACTATCGTTGAAACTCATACATACTCATACTCATTAATTATTTCGCGGTAATTCAGTAGAATTGTTTTTTAAAGTTCACTGTCAGCCGATAAGCAAATGCAGTAAAAAAAGTATAATTAAAACCTTTACGTAACGACGACGGTGCTAATCGAATTTACTTGTATTTAAACTGTTCCCTAATTATCATAACGACTTTCAACGTTGTATAATATTTGTAATCTACCGCGAAAGTGTTCATCGCGACGTCTACACTCGATCTCTTATCTAATCTAGCTAGGAAGGATCTTTCAATAAATCGATCCCCTATATAAACTTAGGCGTTTTTATTGTGTGCGTAAAAGCCTGGCTGTTGCAAACTGATAAAACAAAGATATGGCAGTCGATAGATTTTAACCGGGGGCATCGGAACGAAAAATTAAACACGCTTGCTCTCCGACTGACATACGTACAAAAACGTTACCGAATATTACTTCTAGTGTTCCGCAGATAATATTTGCTTCAGAAGTTTGGACCAAGTATTGCTGCGGAAAGATGATGTACGTTACGGTGTTCTCATCAGTGATATTACTTGTAATTGGCCTTGCCATAGGCTTGAGCGTTAACAATTTCAAAGGGAGCGATGCCCTCGACTCGGCACCGCTCATCGACGGGTAAGCGATTTTCTATTATATTTCATACACGATATCTATTTTTCTTTGTGCAAAAAATTAGAATTCGTTATCTGTGTTTCATGAACGAATTAAGATAGGTACGATTGTATAGGACTGACAGATACGCCTTATCGAAATGTGTGTATGATAAAACCGTGCCTCGAAACTGATAGATAGGAATGATGACTCGATGAAATCGGAAAACCCTTTTAAACGATGCTAAACGATATATGCGAGATCATCGTCGGAAGTCATTATGCAATTATGTCGAGATTTGCAAATCTAATGCCACAGAATCTCATTTGGAAAATAAACAAGAATATTAATCATTATTTATTGTCCGTTCGATATCTGAGCTACGTAAATTCTTCGATTTTATTACTATTTGTAAAAAAGTAATCTCCTTTAATCCCTTGATATACAAATGAAACAGAATTTGATGCGTCCGAAAAATAGTATTTAAATTCTATTACTAAGTTCTTGACGTCTCGGGGACGTCAAAATTTATAATAGCACGTGGAACGAATGACGTCTCCCAGACGTCATTGTATGTGGTTAATTATACTGTGAAGTGTCGAAAAGTATTTTCTAAACATCAATTTACTTCGACACGTTTACTATGCAATCTCCAATTCATTTGTATGTATTTTCTTTAAATTGCAGTCACAATGACCTGCCTTTCAACATATACGAGATACTGAACAACAATTTAGACGAATTCGATTTCACTAAGAACCTGACCGACGACAAACTGTGGGGTAAGAAAGCATGCAAATCATGTTTCACAGACCTCCCCAGATTGAGGAAAGGAAAAATAGGCGCGCAAGTAAGTAGCAGAGATTTTTCTCAAAATGATCACTCGATAATGACGAGAAATTTCAGTTCTGGGTCGCGTACGTTCCCTGTTCGTCGCAGTACATGGACGCTGTTCAACTAACGATGAGACAGATCGACGTTATTAAGAGACTAGTCGTGAAGTATTCAAACGACATGCAATTCGTGACGGAAGCGAAGGGCATCGAGGAAGCGTGGAAGAATAAAAAGATTGGCTCGATGATCGGTGTCGAAGGCGGTCACTCGATCGATTCCAGTTTGGCGGTTCTCAGACTTTATTACGAACTCGGTGCTCGTTATATGACACTGACGCACAGCTGTAACACCCCATGGTACACCAAACGATTTCCAATTATACTCTTTATGCATCTACGTCGAAGATCATGCAAACTATAAAAACAGCCTCAACATATGCTAAATTTTTCTAGGGCCGACGCGTCGACGGTGAACAACGGCTCTGTTCACAATCTCACAGAGTTCGGCGAGGTACGTTTCAAATTACATTCAACCACGTAAATCGTTTGATACATTCTTATGGAAATATCTATGCAGGCTGTCGTGCACGAAATGAACAGATTAGGAATGCTAGTCGACTTGTCGCACGTTTCTCACAACGTTATGAGACGCGTATTGTCAATAACAAAGGCTCCTGTCATATTCTCGCATTCTTCCGTTTTTAGTATTTGCAAAATTTATCGTAACGTCCCTGATGATGTTTTAAACATGGTCGTAAGTAATCGATCGTTCACGTATTTATGTACTCTATGAAACCTAATTCCAAGTGCGTTCTCAGAAAAACAACAACGGTGTCGTGATGGTAAATTTCTACTCGAGTTTCGTGAACTGTAACTCGGGGAGAAACGCGACTATGCAAGATGTAATAGGTAGGTCCTCGAGTATCGATCAGATTCGGCCTTTAATAAGACTTCGAATCATTTTTTACAGATCATATCAATTATATTCGTAAGCTCATCGGACCGGACCACGTTGGCATCGGTGCCGACTACGACGGTGTAACATCGTAAGCGATGCCACCAGTTTGATTCAGAGATCAGGCATATGAGATTATGTTCAAACGTTTCAGAGTACCGCAGGGATTAGAGGACGTTTCTAAGTACCCTGACTTGTTCGACCGGCTGTACGAAAGTAACGTGGAACCGCGATGGACCAAAGAGGATCTCGAGAAACTAGCTGGGAGGAATTTGATTCGCGTGTTCAAAGCTGTAGAAGGAGTACGTAAAAGAACGTCTGACTAGATGAATTCTTAATATTCATATTTACTCCTTTTCCCTGTTCTATTTTAAAAGGTAAGGGACTCTTTAGCGAAAACCGAACATCCGCGACAAGATATCATAAATGCGAAAGATATTTCCGAGGACCAAAAAGCGATTAACATGAAGCCGGGATTGTGTTATACCGCGAAAGAGTAAGTTAATTTTAAATAAAAGCATTGTTTTCAATGCTTATTATATTCCTATTGATGCAGGTGGGATGGCATCAAATCGACTAACAAGACGTCACAATAAAATTCTATGTATAAGACCAATTCGTAATTAATAAAGAATTTAAATATGTAGTAAGTGTCTCGTCTTATCCATCCCATTATCCATTTATATAGATAAGTGTACTGCGTATACAGAAATGATATCATACACAATTGAATGTATGTATAATGATGGGTAACTGGGATTTTTTATGCATGCGCAGTACAAGTTACTAGTGACGTCTTACAGACGTATTTACTCGTTTGTATATAATATGTGGGTACCGTCAGGCCCCTAATGAGAAGACATAAAACTATGACGCGCGTACGTAGATAAAGTGGCACGTAAACAATTTACGAACAATACGTAATTATCCTAGTAGCTTCTAACGATAACATGAATTTTCATTTGTATGAAAGTTCACATTTATTAAAGCAAAATTAGGATTTTATTATCTGTTTCCCGTTTTAATAATACAACCAGCACTCGTGCCGTTTCGGACCATTCATCCTGCGGCATGATGAGTGACTGGAGGAACCATAAATCTTTTCACTCACTGTGATTACCAAAGGGACCTGCAGCTGTCATCGTAGGAGACATCGAGGGTGACCATTCCGCAGCTTTGAAGACCATCAGACCATTGTCGCACTTAATTCTTTTGCACTATCACTAATCACTATACAGCACATCATCTGTAACAAACAATAAAATGTTCCAATTAATTTCTATTCCGATTGTCAATCAATTCAAAATGTTCAATGTTGTTCATCGATGATGGATACTTACGTATAAAATTCATGTGCCATGCCCGAAGCCCATTCTGTATTCATTCTCCATTATAACTGCGTATTATCTGTAACAGAAAAAAATAATTTCCAATTAGTATTTCATGATGATGGCTTGAAATGATTAGAGCTGTCAATTCAGATGCTTACATGTTTTTCTATTATTTGCTTCAAAGGAGATTCAACTCGTCTTTCCTGCTTTTGATTTTCTTCAAGGTACTGATTTTCTGTAAAAGAGAACAAAATATTATGCATACAACGCTTGCAAGATTTCACTTGATACGATAATTCAAACTCACATTTATAATTGCATAATCGCCATTCAAAGTTGAGATGTTGTAGCGTCTACCGACAATGAACAATCACACTGCAGATGCATCTTGGAAAGGTAACCTGAAACACAAGAAATAATAATTATCCATATCGTATTTACGAGAGATCCATATCCGAAGTTCGCCGAGGGTCGCTGTCCTACCGAGATCTGCTGGAGAGTCTTCCCTGGATCCTTTCTTCTTCTTCTCCGGGCTTCAAGACGCAAATGAAGAATGCCAATGGAATCGTGCCCATTTTATAGCCGGCTGATACCGCTACTGTGCCTCTTCAGCGCCAAGAGCCAATCAGCGTTCACGTGCCCACCTGCGACGCGACTGCGGCAACAGATTGCTTTGATTGGCGCGGCGCTAGGATACATGTTTCCTATAAAAACCCTAATCCGATGCACCCGCACATCTCATTCTGTAACGGACAATGTCACGCGTCAGAGATAGAAGCTCCTTATGAAAAGAAATAATAAATCGAAATTCAAGAACCTTTCCTATCCCATAACATTTACAACCGTACAGATATCTGTTCGGTTGTACCAGTCCCATTAGGCCTAGATTACTTTAAAACGTATTATCTTGCGTTTAGAATAGATCATCAGTGAAAATTTTTCAAGCGCTCTGATTGGCGCGGTGCTAGAATACAGGTTTCCTATAAAAACCTAACCCGATGGACCCACACATCTCATTCTGCATCAAGCAATGGCACGCGTCAGAGCTAGAAAATCCTTATGAAAAGAAATAATAAATAGAATTTCAAGCACCTTTCCTATTCCATAACATTACAACCGAACAGATATCTGGTCGGTTGTACCAGTCCCATTAGGCCTAGATTACTTTAATACGTATTATCCCTTAGAGCATATACTACATGGAGGAAGCACGCCTAATTAAAAAGTGTAGATAACGGTGAGAGAGAGAGTAATAGTTTTGGGTACTCCTTCTCTCTGTCTGACAGTAGAGATAGAGGGGGAAGTCTCCGCCAATTATCCTAAACGGCGCGAAATCACGTGCGTACGCGAGAGAGAAAGGTAGTACCCAAACCATCATCTCTCTCTCTCTCTCTTTCACCGTTGTCTACACTTTTTCCTTAGGCGTGCTTCCTCCATGTAGTATATGCTCTAAGTGTCACGCTTATTGCCAGACAGTGGGGACTTTTATGGCCCGCTGAATAGCAACTCATAAGACCCTTAATTAACTACTAGTAAAACAGATTTTTATTCTATGTTCCCGTAACAATTATTCGTTTCAAGAATCGATGCCGAAACGGCAGTTATGGACTGTTACTTCTGTGTATAGCTCGGCGCGCGCGTCTCGAAGCGATAAGACGAGGTAACGAAATATGATCCGAAAATCGATAACATCTCGTCGGGATGCAAAGGAAAGAATCGAAACTGAACCGTCTTTCGGTGTTTCTCAAGTCATTGCATATTATGATTTATGGAGAAGATAATTAAGTAACATAATTCCTGATTGTTTCCCTTACACAAGCGGCTGTACAACGGTTGTAAATGTATAGGAAAGGTACTTGAAATTCGACTTATTATTTCTTTTCATAAGGAGCTTCTAGCTCTGACGCGTGACGTTGTCCGTTG